GGGGGGGCATATGGAGTAGCAGGGAGGGGTACCACCCCCGCAGAGGGGGGCATATGGAGTAGCAGGGAGGGGTACCACCCCCGCAGAGGGGGGGCATATGGAGTAGCAGGGAGGGGTACCACCCCCGCAGAGGGGGGGCATATGGAGTAGCAGGGAGGGGTACCACCCCCACAGAGGGGGGCATATGGAGTAGCAGGGAGGGGTACCACCCCCACAGAGGGGGGCATATGGAGTAGCAGGGAGGGGTACCACCCCCACAGAGGGGGGCATATGGAGTAGCAGGGAGGGGTACCACCCCCACAGAGGGGGGCATATGGAGTAGCAGGGAGGGGTACCATATGGAGTGGCAGTAATAGGATCTCAGTGGGTCAGGTTCTGGTCGCCTCGGTGGGTCGTGCGATGGCACAGTGGGCGGAGCTCTCAGGTGTTTTTCACTGCTAGTGTGGTCACCAGGACAGGAAGTGAGGAGAAATCTCCCCAGCAGTGGTGCGGAGCTTCCTATGTCTGACCTGCGTTCTCTATATTTCAGATACACGAAGCTCGGCTACGCTGGGAACACAGAACCGCAATTCATCATCCCGTCATGTGAGTATGTCCCGCACCACTGACATGTTCAGCAGGGGGTCGGGGCTATCCCCGGGCGGCCAATGAGAGGTGGTCGGGGCTATCCCCGGGCGGCCAATGAGAGGTGGTCTGGGCTATCCCAGGGCGGCCAATGAGAGGTGGTCTGGGCTATCCCAGGGCGGCCAATGAGAGGTGGTCTGGGCTATCCCAGGGCGGCCAATGAGAGGTGGTCTGGGCTATCCCAGGGCGGCCAATGAGAGGTGGTCTGGGCTATCCCAGGGCGGCCAATGAGAGGTGGTCTGGGCTATCCCAGGGCGGCCAATGAGAGGTGGTCTGGGCTATCCCAGGGCGGCCAATGAGAGGTGGTCTGGGCTATCCCAGGGCGGCCAATGAGAGGTGGTCTGGGCTATCCCAGGGCGGCCAATGAGAGGTGGTCTGGGCTATCCCAGGGCGGCCAATGAGAGGCGGTCTGGGCTATCCCAGGGCGGCCAATGAGAGGTGGTCTGGGCTATCCCAGGGCGGCCAATGAGAGGTTTATACTGATGGATTGTACTGGTAACAAAGTAAAAACAGTGAAGCGCCACGGACTGTCAGTTCTTAGTAGGACTTGCTTTTAGGCATGCTGCAGGATGCTGCCCCATAGAAGCCGGGAAAGCTGGAAATCTAGGGAATAAGCACAAAGAGGGGCGCCTTTCCTGGTGCAGATCACTTTTATTTCAATAAACATAAATAGAAAACCGAATCATACTCACAAACATGAGTGTCGTGAGGTGAGGACTGACAAGCAGTGAGATGTCCACTAGGTGATACCAGTGTAGTGGTGACGTTAACGCGTTTCCGGGGCACGCCCCCTTCATCAGAACATAGCGTCACCCTTCCTCTCTCCAACTTAAAAAGTATGAGTGGCCAATCCGAGGCGAGCGATAAGCGCTTGTCACAGTATAGATTAAATTGCAGCCGTGGCTTTGTCCGTCTCGGGCACCGTGCTTGGGAAGGAGTGCCGCGATTGGGAGTCTTAATGACCCCTGACATAGGACCCTCACAATGTGCAGCCATGGG